TTTTCTCCTGCACCATCTTCTATACGTTTTATAGCTTAACATTTTACATTTGGATGTGACAGTTTATATAGAAAAACCAGATATTCACATTTTATGTGAACGCTCCTGATTTTTATATCTTGACAACTAAAATTTACAATTTTAACAACAAGGGATTCCAAACCAAATAAACAGAAAAACAAAACAACACATCTGCAAGACATGACTGGCTCATGGACCATTAATCTACAACTTCTGGTATGGGCTGACTAATCAGGGCTACTGTTCCTGAACATTCCAAGGACAGATTACTGTGGCAATAGGGAAGGAAAAGAACATACATAATTTCACTTTTCAAAATTCCATTTTCATTCCTTTCAGAATCTGTGCTACAAATGTAGATGAGTGCCTACCAAGGAAAGTGCTGGACATCTCCCAAGATGGCTAGGGAGCTTCCTAAGTGTATAAAAAAGGTTGGTTACAAATGCTACAAAGTATATTCCCCTAATAAAGGACTCTAGACCAGGCAATGAGGGCCATTTGACACTGAGGTTTTGGAGACCAAAGTTGCAGAGACAAAAGTCCATCATCAAAATTATTATAAGCACCCAAAGCTGAAGCAGCAGCTGGAATCACAAACAGGTTTAAACCTGGTGTGGATTTTTTTTATTATTTTTTTTTATTACGTGGGTCGTTCAAAGAAATTCCTTTACCGTTTTCTTGCACCTCACCCTATACTTCCCAGCTACAAAAGACTCTTCTGTGACCAGTTAGCACTGAATTGCTCCAGTGAAAAGGAAAATCAGCCAGAAATGCTGATTTCTGCTTGGCCTTCAGAAATACAATAGCCAAGAAGTTGGCATAATTTCAGCTTTTTCTGTGGACTCAAACTTATATCCAAAGACGAAATACTACAAACCACCAACTTTCACAGAACAGACGGGGATAGTCCAGATTCCCAATCACTTATAGAAGGCAGTCTGGCTGAAGACATGCAGCTTGAAGAAATCTGAACTTGTACCTGCCGAAGAATGTTGGGGGGTGAGAAGCAGAAGCAGAAGACAATGCATTACCTTAGTGGGATTATAAAATATGAAAGCTCAGTGAGGGTAAAAGGAAAACTTGCATCCTTGG